CCATAGTTACAGTAAACCATCTTTGGTACTCTCCACTTGAGTGTGAATTAAAATAGAAGTTACTTTGTGAACGTTATGAACAGTTTCCCAATATGTATTATACTTTTGTTTGCCACTGTGAAACTCTGGGTCAGTTGAATTGTCTGATTTGTTTTTCTTTTTCAGTTACTGCAGTTTCCCGTTTTAGGACTCCAAGGTACAAATCAACATACTGACTGCAAAGCTTATCTTAACGCTCTTTGGTGCCCTCCTCTATGTTTCAATGCGCCTTCAGCAAAGATGCATATTTCTAATGTTTTAAAGGCATTCTCAGAATGGAAACCTCTCGGTTGACACATACACACGCACCCATTGTAGTTTTCCTGACGCTTGCTTGCTGGGTAGAACTTACCCATCTAGGTTTGTGCTGGGCAGGAAGGGTGGGCAGGAAGGTGCCTGTTTAACACCTGCCAAAGGGTGTGAACATTCCTGTTTCCTTACAGGTTAGGGACTTGTACCTTCGAATGATTTTGGATCTTTACTGATTGGGGACCTATGGTGTCAGGTGGTTAGAGTCTAAGAACAGTCACTCTTTGAATATTTTCTGATACCATCTTCTAGGTGCTATGGATTCTGCTTTTCATGCTGAGAATGAGGTGGTCTTCTCCTATAGTTCTTTCATAACTTTTAGGGGAGGAGTAGAGAGAATAGAACTCATCTATGAACAGAGTTCTAGAAACCTGGTATGTGTCATTCTTTCCATTTGCCTTCCGTTGTAATGCTTTGCAAGGCTTGGCCAAGATTCAAGGAAAACATCTATTCTTACAGTGTCCATCAGCATGTGTCCATTTTGTCCACCCGCGTCTTGGAGAGCAGACTGCACTGACCACGAACTTAAGCACATGGACGTGGCTCCCATTCAACGCTTGTCAGCTAGTGTGCTTCCTCAGGAAACACAGAATGCCAGTCTAATCGTTATGCAGATATTATAGAATTAATTATACATCTACATGATCTTATAAAATTATGGAAAATCTAGAATAGCAAAAGGAAGTAATAATGACAGTCATGTTATCCCACAGCTCAGGGAAAATCACTGTTGACATTTTGATACATCTTACTCAAGTGTAGTTCAGACAGTCGTGTGGGACTGCTGCAATTCTTTTCTCCCTAGCTACCTTTTCTACCTGAGAGAACATGTGTGCTTTTCATCTCATAAGATGGACCTCTAAACTTTGTGACTTATGAAGGAGCCAGTAAGTAGCTGGCTTACTGAAGTCATTGCTGAATGTCTACGAAGATAATGTGTGATGAAAATATGTCTACCTCCCAGGCTCTGCACATCCTCCTATGTGTCCTGAGATTAAATATATACGTAAAAGCTTCCTCCCATGTTCTGTCAGTTATTTCCTCTTTCCAGCATTTTCTTTAGAAGTCTCAGAATCCTGTGTTACTTTTAAATGTTTCCTGATAACTTGATGGCAGAAAAAGGAAAAGTAAAAAACACTGGAAAACTGGCTCAGTAGTTAAGACCATGCACAACTCCTGCAGAGGACTGAATTTCGGTGCCCAATACCCACACTGGTTGGCTCACAACTGCCTGTAACTCTAGTTCCAGTGTGTCTGACACCAGTGGATTCTCTGTCTCTGTCTCTGTCTCTGTCTCTGTCTCTGTCTCTGTCTCTCTCTCTCTCTCTGTCTCTCTCTCTCTCTCTCTCTCTCTCTCTCTCTCTCTCTCTCTCGCTGTCTCACTCTCTCACACACACACACAATTAAAACTAATAAAGAATTTAAGAGCCGGGTGGTGGTGGCGCACGCCTTTAATCCCAGCACTCGGGAGGCAGAGGCAGGAGGATCTCTGTGAGTTCAAGGCCAGGCTGGACTGACAGCCTCCAAAACAATACAGAGAAACCCTGCCTCGTAAAAAAAAAAAAAACAAAAAAACAAAAACAAAACAAAAAAGAATTTAAGAAGAAAAAGGAAAAACCTCACTGGTATATTTTATATTTCCTTGATTATATTGTGAATATTCCATCTACTGGGAATACATATAGTTGTGAATGGTTAGGAAGATGATTTCTGCTTAATCAGTACTATGTAATTCTGATCAATAAAAATAATACTAGGATATTTTTCATCACTCAGACTGACATGGGAATAGTATTCTCAGTCACAAAGAGAGCTAATTTTTGATTTCAGAACAAATTCAAAGCAAACTGGTTGCCCCTGGAGATGAATACACAGGATAATTTCCAGGTGTTTATTGCTGACTCAAGGTCAGGCGTGAAGCAGCTTTAGTAGAGTAATGGACTTTCCTCACAGACTCCTAACCTCACGGTTCAGCCAACTAACTGTTCATTGTTTAAGTCCTGAATTTCAATATCGCTTTCTGTCTGGGAACCGTGACCACTTGGAGCTACGTGCACGACTAAGTGTTACTCACTGGCCAGTCATGGTGACATCCCTAACCTGAGAGACACTGTGTGATCAGTATGGCTCTCTTTCTTATTGTTTACTCAAGAAGTGCTGTGTGAGCCTGAAAATGTGATTCATATCTGTCTAAGGGGCTTTGCTGCATAAGTAAAAGTATGAGAGATGGAAAAAGAAGTGTCATATAGCTGTATGGAGTAAGGAGATGCAGCTGTGTGGAGATGGAGAGATTTTCAAAAGGGGATTTTCTAATTTGAAGTAAGAGAGAAGGTTGCTATCAAGGAAGCGTGTGTTTGTTCCTTTTTCCTTAAGTTACCATCAAAAAGTCTAGCCACCAGATAGAGAAGAACTTTTTCTAAGTCCCAACTACTCTGAAGGTGTTCTTTTTGCTATCCTGGGTCCTGTCCTGGGAACTGGTATCTTGATCTGCAGTAAGTAAATATTTAAGAAGATGAATATATACCTAACTTGATTTGAACTTAATGCAGTATGTATTGAAACGTTACACAGTACTCCATTAATGCGAACAGTTTTAGGTTTATATGTCAGTTAAAATTAATTAAAAATAATCGAAGTATAAGCATCTTAGTCCATTATCTACCTCATAATTTCTCAAGTCTCTCCCCAGGCTGGGTCTTTTTACTGTCCAGTCAATTATTCTGTTAGGAGAATAACATTCACTGTCACTGAGAAAGGCTGGTATTGACTTTACTCAACAAAAGAAAGAAATGACATTTTAAGCAGGAAAATGTGCTATATTAAAAACTTCCATTACGGAATAAAATATCTGCTTAGCATACATGAATAATGATTTTGGCAGCTTAGTCAGTGCTCACGGTTCTCTGGCATCACCAGTCCAGATGTCCACCCTCCATCAGCACTGCTGTAGGACGTCAGTTATGTCAAACCTGAAAGCAGCCTTTCAGACCAAGTTCTCTGGGTGATTGGGCAGCTCTTGGGAGCAGTGCTTTGCCATGGACTATGAAGTAGGAACAGGCTCTTTCTAGGCAGAAAGTACGTGTATAAGGGCAAACTAGCCCCAACTCGTGTTTCCACTCCACTGAAAATGTGTGTACATAGAAAACATTGTTTTGTCTTAAAAAAAAAGAAAACATTGTTTTGTCTTAGCAATGATTTGTACAAACCTTGCAAAGGGGGCAAAAGTTTCTGTTGCATGATGGATAAATGAGACTATGCTATATTATTGCTGTAAGACTGTATGATTCTCATTTTCTTTATAAAAGGTTTTTAACTGGGAACAATGTCAACAATGCTTTTCACTAGAACATTATAATGGGTAAAAGAGCAAAAAAAAATCTCAACTTTTTTTTCCCAGTGGGGTCTGGCTGTATTGCCCAGGCTGTTACTAGAACTCACAGGGTCAAGTGTTCATCCTACCCCAGCCTCCCTGCTAGCTGGAATCACAGGTGCACACCTCTGCACCTGGCTGATGTCCAAATTTTGCTTGTGTGCCTGTGTATTCGTGTGTGTGTGTGTGTCTGTCTGTCTGTCTGTCTGTCTGTCTATCTGTCTGTGTTTAGGTATGTGCGCATGAGTCCAGTTGACCAAAAAGGTCAGAAGAGGGTATTGGATCACCTGGAGTTATAGACACTTGTGAACCTGCAGACATGAGTGCTCGGAACTGAACTCACGTCCTCTGTCAGAGCAGACCCTCATTCTTAAACACAGAGTCACCCCCCTGCAGCCCCATGACACCATTTTTAAGAAACAAATATGTTAAGCCAACTTAGCTTTTTTTGTTTTGTTTTTCTTTGAAACAGGGTCTCTCTATGTAACTCTGACTGTCCTGGAACTCAATATGTAGACCAGGCTGGCCTCAAAACTCACAGAGATCCAACTGCCTCTGCCTACAGAGTGCTAAGATTAAAGGCATGGCCACCACACAGGCTAAGTAAGCCAACTTAACTTTTAAGGATTGTTCTAACTACAAGGGAGGGATGTTTACTAGTGACAAATAGCCACAGAATAAAGAACATTTAGTGTCTGTTGCAAAACCTTGAACATTGTCTTTATTCAAAAGTTTGCAAACTTTTGTGTTTTTTTCTCTCTCTCTTGTATCAGTGTATCTTGTATCTTTTAATATTTTTTTTCCTTCCAGAGTTTCTCTGTGTGACAGTTCGGCTGTTCTCAGACTCTGCTTTGTAGACCAGGCTGGCCTTGAATTCACAGAGATTTGGTCTGCTTCTGCCTCTCAAGTGCTGGGAATAAAGGCGTGGCCCACCACCACCAAGGCTAGTGTGTCTAATTGACGGGGAAACAAACAAAAAAAAATTTTAAAAACAAGAAAAAGAAATTGATTCCCTAAGCAATCTAAAATTTTAAATTACTGATTGAGTTGAGGGCACCTGTGAACTGCAGATGTGTAGAAGCTGTGGAATCCAACCAAGAGCCTGAGTCCGAGTCACTGCATTTCTTAAAAGTAAAATGTAAGGGGACATTTAGCCCCTTTAATGCACCCAGGGAAATTTGGAGCGCCGAGCAGAGCCGATTCTTGACTCTGAGCTTCAGTTCCTCTGAATACAAAGATCTAACTGTCACTAGAGGATCCTAACTGCTGTCTCTACTTGTAGGCAAAATGAAGGACCGGCTTGCAGAACTTTTGGAGTTATCCAGGAGCTATGACCAGCAATTCCCAGACGGGGACGATGACTTTGACACTCCCCACGAGGATATCGTGTTCGAGACCGACCATATCCTGGAGTCCTTGTACCGGGTCATCCAGGACATCCAGGATGAAAATCAGTTGCTGATGATCGACGTGAAGCGCCTGGGGAGGCAGAACGTCCGCTTCCTCACGTCCATGCGGCGCCTCAGCAGCATCAAACGCGATACCAACTCCATCGCCAAAGCCATCAAGACCCGCGGCGAGGGCATCCACCAGAAGCTGCGCTCCATGAAGGAGCTGAGCGATCAGGCAGAGGTCCGGCACGGCTCGCACTCCGCGGTGGCACGCATCTCGCATGCACAATACAGCGCGTTGACCCGTGCCTTCCAGCAGGCCATGTATGAGTACAACCAAGCCGAGATGAAACAGCGCGACAACTGCAAGATCCGCATCCAACGGCAGCTGGAGATCATGGGCAAGGACGTGTCGGGCGAGCAGATCGAGGACATGTTCGAGCAGGGTAAGTGGGACGTGTTCTCCGAGAACCTGCTGGCCGACGTGAAGGGCGCACGGGCTGCGCTCAACGAGATCGAGAGCCGCCACCGAGAGCTGCTGCGGCTGGAGGGTCGCATCCGCGATGTGCACGAGCTCTTCTTGCAGATGGCTGTGCTGGTGGAGAAGCAGGCAGACACGCTGAACGTCATCGAGCTCAACGTGCAGAAGACCCTCGACTACACCGGCGAGGCCAAGGCACAGGTGCGCAAGGCAGTGCAGTACAAGAAGAAGAACCCCTGCAGGACCATCTGCTGCTTCTGCTGCCCCTGCGTCAACTAGCAGCTGGCTTGGGCCTTCACCACCTGTGCCACGAAGGCAGTGTGTTCAAGATGCCAATCAAAGGCACCCTGCACTGGCCCAAGAGAGAGGGTCCCGATGCCTGCAGAATTCAGAGGCTAAAGAAAGAAAGATGGAGTTGGTGTGCAAGATTCAGAACCCGGCACTTGCCTACAAGGATGGATGTTTTAGCATCCTATGGTTCGTTAATGCAGACAGATTACCACTGCAGTTGTGTGACGTCATTATAAGATACCGAGCACTCAGCATCTCAGGGAAGAACTAATGTCATTGCTAAGGTGTGTCTTGAAGACTAAAGGAGGAAGTGAAATGAGCATATGCTAATAATATGAGCACATTATCAAAAATTCTCTTCCTTTACCTTCTCTGGGAAGTTCCTTGGTGCTGTTCGATTTTGAGTGACATTCACTTGGGTATTTCTTAGTTCGGTTCAACTTCGAGTAGCTTTGACATTGGGTAAACTGGATTTCATTCACTTCTGATTATTTATGTTGTGTGAGCCCTGCCTACGTGGAAACTTTACCTCGGCTCTCTTCCCCCACTTATTAAACTGCACTGAACACACACGACTTCCTGATCTCTCACCTTTTATAACTTCCACTGGTTTTATATATATATATACTCATATATATGAGTAATTTTTCCAGATATTTTAAGCAGCGAATACTGAGCAAGCACTCAAGTTGAACTTTTTTAAATCACTCATTTTATGTATTTTTCACAGAAAACATTTATTTAAAGTTTGTCCTTGTACTTAATTTCATATGAATATATGTGTAAATGTAAACTAATATTCACTCATTTGTGTACATAATGGCCAATTGGGTTAGCACTGCTTTTGTAAATTCTGTATTTAAATAATAAGAACTTTTTTGTGAGTGTCAGTGTTGCCTTGATTGTTCTGAGTGGATTTCATTTCTGTCTGCATGGTCCACTTCGGGTCAAACTTTATTTTGAACCACTGTGTGCTGTCATTGGTGAAGATGAGTGGGGAAAACACATGACACAATCAGAGCCACTAAAATGATGTTCTTGGAAATCATAATTTATCTTACTGTGAACCATTCCTTAAAGACGTAAAAGCAGAGAGCCTTAAAGTGAAATCTTTTTTTTCAAATAAGTTTAATAAACATGACACTATATCTTTTTGTATATTTGTATCTTGACCCATTGAAGATAGTTGGGTTTTTTTCAACTATGGTTAAACTTTCCCTCCCTCTAAATACAATATGTGTGCATGAAGCTCTCAACAAAGGAATTTTCGTCAGTATGCCCCAAGTTACCATTTTCAGGTTTTAGAGATTTGTTTTCACTTGAAAACTTTAAGGTTATGTTCAAGACCATGGTCATACCTCCTGTGTGTTATCAATTCTAAATTCCTTCTATACATTATTAAATATGTGAGTGATTTTAGTCGGGAGTCATCTATCTTGAGTTCTTTTTTTGTTTTTGTGTTTTGTTTTGTTTTGTTTTTATTCCTCTTATTTAATATAAATTAGAAAATAGTTTGCTTATCTTGAGTTCTTAAGAAGTTCAAGATCTATTTGTTTGTTTGCTTGTTTATTATTTATTTATTTTCAAGGCAGGGTTTCTCTGTGTAACAGTGCTGGCTGTCCTAGAACTTGCTTTGTGGATCTGGCTGGCCTTGAACTCACAGACATCACCTGCCTTTGCCTCCTCAGTGCTGCAATTAAAGGCATACACCACCACCACCCATCAAAGGTAGAGTTTTAAAAGAGAATACAAATAGGAACTCTTTGGGACTCACTGATTATTCATGAGCAAGAAAAACTAGTCCTGTGGATAGTTTTGCTTTCATAGTTCAAAGGGAAAATTGTACAAACTGAGCCCCACCCAGCTCTCCTTAGACTTGCCCAGTTTCTTAATCAGCTGACTACTGGGATGTTCCCCTTTCACTAAAGGAGAGGGGGAGGTTTCCACACAGCCCCAGTGCCCAAGTTTGTATTGTAGAGAAAAGAGTCTCTCTATGGAGACTTGCTATTTTCTGCAAGAAGGAATAGTCCATAAATCAACTTACTTGAGCTCTGGAAGAATTTTTTTTCTTCCTTTCTTTTTTCTTTTTAGAATCATTGTGAAAGTAAACAATTTTCTATGTCTGCATAATTTTTTTCTGAGACAGAGTCTTACTATATAGCTCCAGCAGGCTTGGTACTCACTATGTAGGCCAGGCTGGTCTTAAACTCGAAGAGCTATTCTCCTTCCTCTGCCTCTTGAGTGCTGAGATTAAAGTCATTTGCCACCGCACTTGGGTAAAACACTTTTTTCCCTAATTAATCCTAATGATAAAGCTGTTTTCACAGTGGCAACTATTGTAATCCTGTTTGCTTCTAGTCAACTCTGCTTTTCTGTTCTGTTGTTCTATCCTGTCCTGTCCTGTCCTGTCCTGTCCTGTCCTGTCCTGTCCTGTCCTGTCCTATTCTGATAGGTTCTGTTCCGTTCTATTCTACTCTACTCCTATCTTATTCTATTCTACTCTATCCTATTCTGATGGATCCTGTTCTGTTCTGTTCTACTCCTATTCTAGTCTAGTCTAGTCTATTCATTCCATTCCATTCTATTTTTTTCTGGTTGGTTCTGTTCCGTTCTATACTACTCCACTCCTATTCTATTCTATTTATTCTATCATTTTAACATAAAAAAATCAAACACAGTTTGGCCAGGGCTTGTTCCTAAGATTCTTCCCAGCACACAAGTCATAGTCTCCATGAGGAGCTCTGGAAAGTGATCAAGGTTGGAACACAGACCTCAGGGGAAGGCATCAGTTACCTCTCCCATATCCTCCATAACACTCCCGGTCCTCCAGGAGCTGACAGTGAAATGCCAGTCATGTCCTTTGTCCCAGAGAGATGACACAGGGATAGGAGGAGGAGGAGGAGTCATCGTCGTCGTCGCGCCCCCCGTATTTACCTGGTAGACTGAAAGATGACGTTGGACAAGACCTTGTGGTGATGCTGCAAACTTTAAACACTAATGCCATTTTGTGTGTGACTAGAAGAAAATGGTCACAATGAAAACTTTTAAGAGCAGAAAATGGGCCCAGTGAGATTGCTCAGCAGGCCAACGTTCTAACCTTCGAGTTTGGTGACAGGAGTTCTATCGCTACAGCCCATATCAAAAGGAGAGAACTGACACCTATAGGGTGTCAACATATTCTCTCTCTCTCTCTCTCTCTCTCTCTCTCTCTCTCTCTCTCTCTCTCACTCACTCACTCACACACACACACACACACACACACAGAGGTAATTTTCATTTACAATTGTATTTTTTTTTCATTTACAATTCATACTGCCTGTGAGTTGAATAGCTGCAAGGCCGCTCCTAGTCCACAGGACTTCAGGAGCATGGAGTGGATGTAATCTTTACTAATCAGGAGCTCTCTGGGCTTTGAGGCACAGACAGATGTTTTCTCTGGGAGGCAGGTGTGTCTCAAGCAGTCATCAGAGAATCCCCATAAGGGAGAGGGCAGTACAAGGAATGTCACCCCCGATGAAAGGGAGTTATTTAGCCTCCACGTGACAAGCCCAGGAATTTTTTCTTGCTCCCTCTTGCACACAGGAATGTTTGACTAGCTCATTCTTTGCCTTGCCCTGTGGTTTGCCCTGGTGCGATGCACCCTTAAATGGGCAGAGTGACACGGTCCCTTCATAACCTTCAGCCACGCTTTTCAATTTGGTTGATGGTGGTGGGGAACGCCTGTCAAACAAGAAATGTCGCTTCGTGGTAAGGCGTTAGGACATGCATTTGGGAGAAGAAAGCCAACAACCAACGAAATTTAAGAAGCCCCCTTTTTACACCTCATGGAAATGATTCCCTGCACCAGCCATTGTCAGCGTTTGAGGTAATTATTCAATAAAAGATCTCCTTTCCAGTGGGAAATCATGGTCTGTATTCACAGGTTCCTCTCTTGGTGTGGCATTAAAAATGGATCCACAGCACACCGTGCAGGGCTTATAACCCATACAGACCCCTCCGTTTCTTGTGGCTACCAGATGAAACAACTTGGAGTAAATACTTTTAAGATGATCCAGTGCTATTAATGAATGAATGTCTAAAATAAGATAAAAATAAAAGGATGAATGTCATGGCCAATGCCTGTAAACCCAACACTTGAGAGACTCAGGCAGGAGGATTACCATGAGTTTAAAGCCAACCTGAGCAATGTAGTGAGTTCCAGGTCAGCCTGGGATCTGGGGAGAAATGAGTCTCAAAATAAATTTTTACAAGAGGATGGAAGGAAGAAAAAAAAGGTAGCAGAAAATAGAATATATATACATATATATAGTAGAGAGAGATAGAATACACACAAATATATGTACATATGGGAGATAAAGCTCAGAGGCAGAGTGCTTAGACAAAAGAATGAAAGAAAATAGGTTTTCTATAAAGGCAAGAAAACCGTAGATCCTCCTAGATTTACCCCAAGAAGATGAGCCAAAACCTAGAGGAGGGGAGCTGAAGAATAAAACAGACAGACATTCCTGGGGGGGAGTGAAATACTCCATTTAAAAAAATTAATTAAACCAATAGAAAGTGTAAGGTCCACAGTTTTGCAAGCCACAAAAGTGTCAAAGTCACCGTGAGGATCATCTCCTCACTACACTACTCTACCAGGGATGAAACAGGGAGTTGACAGCGGCATTAATCCTATTTGGTCTACTGTTTCTGCATTTACCCTACTTTTCAATTTGGAAGAAAAGAAAGTTAAAGACATGCATTGTTCTCAAAGCTTTAAGTCAAAAAGCCTTAGACACAAAGTAAGGTATACTGTGCTTTATACCTCAAAAGAAAACTTGTGGATCAGAGGTCTGCCGTGTAGTGATGGAGTAACTGAACTTCCTCCTTCAGATTTGCAAATTAAATAGCAACAGTAAGTAGGAACACATTCCAACTTATTGATTTATCTGCCAAAGGAAAGAGGCCTCAGAGTGTGTGTGTGTGGGCTTGGCTGGCAGGATTTGTCGTGGACTAAGCGGCACACTTACACACCTTTTACAGTAAGTCAGCAGTAACTGAGGAAACAGCTAAGGGGCATCTATTGCTCCCCAGTTCTTGGTAAAACACTTACCTCACTTGTGTTTCACAACACTGGAGTGAATTTGCCTCCTTATAATGTGTTTGCCTCCCTGTGGACATGGTGGCCCCGGATACTGCCCTTTACCCGTTCCTCTTTGTAGCTGATTTTGTTCATTTCGTGCTTTGCTGCTTTGTCCTGACTGTTTCCCAGCCCTGGTAGAGAGAAGACTGACCACGGATGACCTCACACCTCCTTAGTATGGATAACAGGAAACTAGCAGAGCGTCTCAGCATCACACAAGATACCTTCTGTGTTGTCAGTGCAAGTAGGCAGCTGACTCCCAAGCCACACCCATTTTCCTCTGATTGCAAACTGCTCTCGTTTTAGTCTTTGTGTGTTGGGGGAGGGCGGGGGTGACTTTAAGAACCAGGGATGTAACTCACATGATAGAGTGCTTCCTAGTATACACAAAGGCTGGAACTGATCCCCAGCACCCCATAAAATTGCACATGGTGGTACAGGCCTGTAATACCTGCACATGAGAGGTACATCCGCAGTTCAAGGTCATCCTTGGCTACATTAGCGAATTTAAAGTCAGCTTGGGCCACATGAGGCCCTTTCTCAAAAACAACAGCAAAGAAACAAAACAAAGCAGCACTGCCATTTTGGGGGCCCACTTGCACTGCCATTTTGGGGGCCCACTTGCACTGCCATTTTGGGGGCCCACTTTGCACCTAACATCTTGCTGGCTGGAAGCAACTGGCAAACAAACCCGGATCCCAAGATTTCTGGGGAATGCTGAGTTTAGATTTTTATTTATTGGCTACCGGTCCTTCTGTTTACCCAGTCAGAGTCTATCCTGAGCTGAGCCCAGACATCATATAGGCCATTTTGGGGGACCGCTGTGGAACTAACACGTTGCTGTGATCAAACCCCTGCCAGAAGCAACTTGGAGAAGAAATGGTTTGTGTGGCTTAGACGTCACAGTTCATCTCTAAATCAGGGCAGGGACCTGGAGAAAAAACTGAAAAGGAGCCATGGAGGAAAACTGCTTGCTGACTTGTTCTCACGGCTCATACAGCCCAGGACCACTTGACCCAGGTGTTACACAGCCCTCATTGATCCAGACAACTCCCCACGCACTTGTCTACAGGCCAATCCGATGGAGGAGTTTCCCTCAAATGACATTCTCTCCCCCAGATGATTCAGCTGGTATCCAAGATGACAAAAACAAACAAACAAACAAAAAACAACAACAACCAGCATACTGGAGAACATTATGTTAAGTGAAATAAGCCAGACTTACAGAGACAAACACACATTCTTTCTCTCTTGTGCAGATTTAAATCTCCTTTCTCCCCACCCTGTGTCTGTGGTG